AGTAGCCTACGTCCGTTATCCGTTTATTAACTCTCGTAGTTAACGTTAACGTTAAGTTACACAGAACATTTCTGGGTAGTTAATGAACTCCATTCACATCACGTTTTGTTTATCGCATTATATATCAACCATGAACTATATTAACACTTCATCCACTTATTTGAATGTAATACCTAAACGTTTATATTAGTGGATCTCAGTTTTTTCTAAATGACTAGTGGAGACAGAAAAATGTTCTCTTACCTGATCGCCAATATTGCAGGATCACGCATCCCAGTCGAGCGTCTTCTGCTGTGTTCACATCTTCTGTTCTCCTTCGTTTACATGCACATCGCAAATTAGTTCAAAATAATATTGAAAGACCGAGTAACTGCTGGCGCAGTCCGTCGTCATAAACTCAAATGTTATTTGATTTTTCAAACTTGACCAGTAAAAAGGCGCGCAACAGTTGTCATTGGCCAGTTACATAGATGACAGTCAGATTAACCAATCATGATCAAAGAAGGTGAAACAACCGAAGTTACGACGTTACTCTGTAGGCCAAAACGCAGAAGTGAATTTGCATTTTAGCATTACAGTTCCCTCGCTCTAAAGCCTATGGGTTTTTTGAATGGGTTTTTGCTAAATCTCCTGAAATAAGGTCTCTGGTGAACAGAGCCTCTAAATATTTTCACGTTTTGATCTATGACATAGAACACACAATTATAACCTGCGTGTGTTTTTTTTTTTTTTTTAAACTTTATTGTGTCTGATTGTGTTTTTTAAAATCTTTATATATGCTTCAAAATGTATATAAATTTTGGATTAACTTGTAAAGATTATCTTGCTAGACAAAACGTGTAAGGGTCACAACCCTCTGTTAAACACAGATCTTATTTTTTGCGATTTTCCAAAAGTCTATGGGGAAAATGCATTGCTTTTTTACCGAGGGAACCCATGCGCCGCTAGCTTCCGGGCTTTTTTAAGAAATCCGTGTTTAATTTAATTTGTAGGCTATTATTTGATTACTGTTTTTATGAAAGTGTGTGAATAAAAATGTAATCCTGCAAGCTAAAGTTTAGGCACACACACAAAATTGTAAACCCCAAACAAAATCGCACAAAGCAAAAAAAGTTTATTCTGCACTTGTTGAGATTGAAATTATATCCATTATTTTTATTATTGTTAATAATATACTGATTCTATTTCAACACAAATTTATATTTTTGAAGTGGTGTTTTGATCAAAATATCATAAAATGCTACAATAATAATTAGAAATTAATAATTAGAAATAATAATAATTTAAATGTTATAGATTTCTTGAAGACATGACATTGATTCAACAAACAGATAAAAAAAATTCAACTGTTTAGCATTAAAATGTTACATTGTGTACATTGTGTGCATTCTGTACTCGCTGCAAATGTGATTTTTGAATTTAGTTTTGATTTTCCCTTCAAACACTGCATGTTGCATTCTAACTTTTTTTACTTGGGCTATTTCGTCATCTGGACTGAGTCTCTTTCAATAATCAAAACCCTAACCCTAACCCCAATATTTAAAATCTCTAGAATTACATTGTCACTAACCGACTGACCAGAAAACTCTTGAGTATTTCCATTGAATAAGGGCATTTGGCTGATGCTAGGGGTTTGATTTATTCTAGCCATCTCAAGTCATTAGAATATTTTGATAGATAAGTAGCTTCTGTAACCCGTTCTTCATATTGTACAGTGACCATTTTCGGGATATTTTGAACCATTTGTATAACTATATTGAGATAAGCATATTGCAGTAACTCAGAAGTTTGCAGTAACAAAATTAAACCACTAAAAGTTGACACTTTGAATATTTAGTGTCAATGATTAGGGTTGGAACTAATATCTGCTGAACGCCAACACTCCAGGACTGGATTTGAAGAGCCGTGGCCTATACTGTATCCACATACCAATACTATTGCCAACAGTATTGGGACACCCATCCAAGTTATTGAATGGGGGTGTTTCAATCACTTCCATGGCCACAGTTGTATAAAACCAAGCACCTAGGTATGCAGGTGCTTCTACAAACATGTGTAAAAACATAGGTTGCTTTCAGGAGCTCAGTGAATTCAAGCGTGGTACCATGATAGGTTTCCACCTGTGGAATAAGTCCATTTGTGAAATTTCCTCACTACTAAATATGGTCAACTGTTAGTGGTATTTTAACAAGGATTATACTGTAAATCATAAATATACTGTATATAAATGTTTTAATGATTGCACAGATATGTTTTTTTTACAAGTGTATAGTTTATGAAGTCATTTACAGATGCACAATTTATATTTATTACATAGTTCATTATATTCACAATTATACTTGTATATATTTCCGCATTAAGGATCCATATAGAGATTACTTATGTGGAAACTACTTTGGGCCCATGTAGGCAGCCTTTATGGGACTGTTTGTGTTTGCCCATATCTGACCCATGCGGTTTATCAAAATGGGCCCCATATATTTTTAACATTCAGAACCCATATAGAGATTACTTATGAGGGAACTACCTTGGGCCCATGTAGGCAGCCTAAATGGGACTGTTTGTGTTTGCCCATATCTGACCCATGCGGTTTATCAAAATGGGCCCCATATATTTTTCACATTCAGAACCCATATAGAGATTACCTATGAGGGAACTACCTTGGGCCCATGTAGGCAGCCTATATGGGACTGCTTGTGTTTGCCCATATCTGACCCATGCGGTTTATCAAAATGGGCCCCATATATTTTTCACATTCAGAACCCATATAGAGATTACCTATGAGGGAACTACCTTGGGCCCATGTAGGCAGCCTATATGGGACTGCTTGTGTTTGCCCATATCTGACCCATGCGGTTTATCAAAATGGGCCCCATATATTTTTCACATTCAGAACCCATATAGAGATTACCTATGAGGGAACTACCTTGGGCCCATGTAGGCAGCCTATATGGGACTGCTTGTGTTTGCCCATATCTGACCCATGCGGTTTATCAAAATGGGCCCCATATATTTTTCACATTCAGAACCCATATAGAGATTACTTATGAGGGAACTACCTTGTGCCCATGTAGGCAGCCTATATGGGACTGTTTGTGTTTGCCCATATCTGACCCATGCGGTTTATCAAAATGGGCCCCATATATTTTTCACATTCAGAACCCATATAGAGATTACCTATGAGGGAACTACCTTGGGCCCATGTAGGCAGCCTATATGGGACTGCTTGTGTTTGCCCATATCTGACCCATGTGGTTTATCAAAATGGGCCCCATATATTTTTCACATTCAGAACCCATATAGAGATTACCTATGAGGGAACTACCTTGGGCCCATGTAGGCAGCCTATATGGGACTGCTTGTGTTTGCCCATATCTGACCCATGCGGTTTATCAAAATGGGCCCCATATATTTTTCACATTCAGAACCCATATAGAGATTACTTATGAGGGAACTACCTTGTGCCCATGTAGGCAGCCTATATGGGACTGTTTGTGTTTGCCCATGTCTGACCCATGCAGTTTATCAAAGTGGGCCCCATATGTTTTTCCCATTCAGAACCCATATAGAGATTACCTATGAGGGAACTACCTTGGGCCCATGTAGGCAGCCTAAATGGGACTGTTTGTGTTTGCCCATGTCTGACCCATGCGGTTTATCAAAGTGGGCCCCATATGTTTTTCCCATTCAGAACCCATATAGAGATTGCCTATGAGGGAACTACCTTGGGCCCATGTAGGCAGCCTAAATGGTACTGTTTGTGTTTGCCCATGTCTGACCCATGTGGTTTATCAAAATGGGCCCCATATATTTTTCACATTCAGAACCCATATAGAGATTACCTATGAGGGAACTACCTTGGGCCCATGTAGGCAGCCTATATGGGACTGCTTGTGTTTGCCCATATCTGACCCATGCGGTTTATCAAAATGGGCCCCATATATTTTTCACATTCAGAACCCATATAGAGATTACCTATGAGGGAACTACCTTGGGCCCATGTAGGCAGCCTATATGGGACTGCTTGTGTTTGCCCATATCTGACCCATGCGGTTTATCAAAATGGGCCCCATATATTTTTCACATTCAGAACCCATATAGAGATTACTTATGAGGGAACTACCTTGTGCCCATGTAGGCAGCCTATATGGGACTGTTTGTGTTTGCCCATGTCTGACCCATGCAGTTTATCAAAGTGGGCCCCATATGTTTTTCCCATTCAGAACCCATATAGAGATTACCTATGAGGGAACTACCTTGGGCCCATGTAGGCAGCCTAAATGGAACTGATTGTGTTTGCCCATGTCTGACCCATGCGGTTTATCAAAGTGGGCCCCATATGTTTTTCCCATTCAGAACCCATATAGAGATTACCTATGAGGGAACTACCTTGGGCCTATATAGGTTGCTTATATGGGATTGATTGTGTTTGCACATGTCTGTCCGATATAGTTTGGCCATGTGGGCCCCATATGTATTGCCCCATTCAAAACCCATATAGAGATTACCAACGTGGGTGCCACATTGGGCTCATGTATGCAGCCTATATAGGACTGATTGTGTTTGCCCATGTCTGACCCATATGGGTTATGAAAGTGGACCCCATATATTTTTCCCATTCATAACCCATATAGAGATTATCTATGTGGGTACTACCTTGGGCCCACGCAGGCAGCCTATATGGGACTGGTTGTATTTGCCAATGTCTCACCCATTTGATAAACCCAAATGGGCCCCATTTGTGTTCCCCATTTTGAGCCCATGCCCTCATTTCCCATTAGTGACCCAACTAGGACCCACATAGGGAGCCCACTTATTTTTGCCCATGTGGGACCGACGTAGCTGACCCAAGTGGGCCCCAGAAAAGATGCCCATTTTGAGACCATACCCACTTGGTACCCACGTAGCCCAAGCATAAACCATGTGGGGCCCACATATACATGTTGGCTGGGTATTAATATTGTTTTTGTAATGATTTGTTTCTCATTTCTCCCGTTTAGGTTGGCACACTGTAAGCTCACCAATCAGTGCTGTGAAACCGTGTCTTCAGTTCTACAGTCTTCAAACTCCTCCCTGAGAGAGCTGGACCTGAGTAACAATGACCTGCAGGATTCAGGAGTGAAGCTGCTCTGTGCCGGACTGAAGAGTCTAAACTGTCAACTCAACATACTGAGGTACTTACAAGGACATATCTTGGCAAACCTATTCTGAAATGTTTTATTTTTCACATCAATTTATACTGCAAATGCCATAGTGCATATGTAATTAAAGGCCTTTCTGTGTGGAGTTTGTATTTTCTCTCTGTGTTGGTGTGGGTTTCCTCCTTGCACTCAGGTTTTCTCCACAATCCAATAAGTGAATTGGAGAGACTAAATTGTCCATAGGTGTGTGTCTTTGTGTAAGCCCTGTGGTGAACTGGCCATTTGTCCAGGGTGTCCCTTGTTTGTGGCCTGAGATGGTCCCCATCAAACCTAACAGAGCATTAGTGGACCTGCAAAGGGGAATGGGAGAAAATCCACAAATCCAGATGTGTAAATCTTGTGGCATCATACCCCAAAAAGACTTAAAACTGTAATCCGCTCCAGATTATGTGCTTTAAATAAGTACTGAGTTAAGGCTTTGTGTACATAAGCAAAGTAAATATATCAGTATCACAAATCATTTTTTTTTTTTGCTTTTTCCTTTTGTCATATAGTGCAAATTGATGTAAAAAAAATACTTAACACTACAGGCAGCATAAGGTTGCAACATGACATAAAAATGCATACAGTACCATAAAATAAACAGTCTGTGTTAATAATATTGTTTTTGTAATGATTTGTTTCTCATTTCTCTCATTTAGGTTGGCACACTGTAAGCTCAGCAATCAGTGCTGTGAAACCGTGTCTTCAGTTCTACAGTCTTCAAACTCCTCGCTGAGAGAGCTGGACCTGAGTAACAATGATCTGCTGGATTCAGGAGTGAAGCTGCTCTGTGCCGGACTGAAGAGTCTAAACTGTCAACTCAACATACTGAGGTACTTACAAGGACATATCTTGGCAAACCTATTCTGAAATGCTTTATTTTTCACATCAATTTATACTGCAGATGCCATAGTGCATATGTAATTAAATGCCTTTCTGTGTGGAGTTTACATTTTCTCTCTGTGTTGGTGTGGGTTTCCTCCTTGCACTCAGGTTTTCTCCACAATCCAATAAAGCCCCTTTTCCACCAAAGCATTTTGAGGGCCGGTTCGGAGCAGGTGCCTGCGCGCGAACCAGTTCTTTGTGTTTCGACAGCCAAAGAACCGGTTCGCGGCCGGGAAAACTGGTTCCAAAGCGGCACCAACTCTTTGCTGGACTAGAATCCAGCAAAGAGTTGGTGCCCCTTTGGAACCAGTTCTTTTAGCACGTCATGTTTACGCCGGGGGCTGGGGCGGGTTTAGATGTGCTCTAAACATCTTTTCTGACCATCGCAAAGCCAGGAGAAACTGCAGAAACACGCAAGCATTTTTATTTATTTTTTTATTTTTTATTTGAAACATAAGCGAAGAAGAAAACTGTCACGATATAGAACGGGAACATAACTTATCTAGAACTACAGAAGACGGGTACATAACTTATCAGAAAAGACAACATATCAAACGAAAAGATTAAAAGACTTACATATTTCAATTGTTTTTAAAGTTTTCTTGGTACACGAGTTAGAGATAATCCCAAAGCAATGTAATTGCAAGTGTTTCTAGCGACGTGCACAGTGTCGTAATGACGTCGTTCCCTGGGTGCTCTAGTCAGTGGAAAAACAAACAGGTTCTGAACGGGTTCGCAAGTTGAACCAACTCCGAACCAACTTTGAACCAGCACCAGTTCCGAACCAGTTCTTTTTTCGGTGGAAAAGGGGTATAAGTTAATTGGAGAGACTAAATTGTAAATAGGTGTGAATATATCGTCGCTGCCCGATGAAACTCACGTATGTCCAAAACGGTTACTTATCAGGAAGTGAAAAAAACACGTAATTTCAAAAGCAGCTGAACGTAGCGTTGTCATGCTTGGTATAACATCTTTAAATGTAACCATATTCTTGGCAGTGTCCTGACATAATCCACATTTGACCCAAAATCGAGTTTAAATGGACATACGTGCATATTGTACAGTAACGGTGATCGATACGCGTTCTTCCGATCATTAATTAGAATGACCAAAGATCACGTTTTATATTGACAGATGAGTAGGCTACGCCCAGTTTATCAAATACGCTCAGTTTATTAAATGTCTCTTGCAAACTATGAAGAGACAATAAATCAATACACTGACATGGCGATGCTAGACTGATACTTTGTTTACACAATCCTACTGTCATTTTGTCACTCCTCTCCACTATGTCTGGCATCAGGGGGGAAACTTTTAACTCGATAAAGTTAGGCCTACTGTAAAGGAAAGTCTTGAGAACAGTTGTCAAAAACAAATGTTTGATAATACTTTACCTCACAGTGTTATTCGGCAATCTAATGCTGATCTCATTAAAATGAGATCTGTATCCAGATAAGTTATCCGGATAATAAGTGTTCTGACCGATTCCATTTACACCTGGCCACATAAATGTGTTTTTGCAAAACGGATATAATATATAAATCCGATCTTCAGTTCCCGCGTTATATGCAGATTTAATGGATTGCATGCCACCAAAAGCAACAGATATGAGCTGCATTTTATTGATCAATTTCAAAAACAAAGACATCAATAAGAGAGTGGCAACAGCCCTGGTAAGATCATTTCGTTTCTTTACTTGAAGATGATTGTGTGTTAAGCGTCTGTGACTTACTTTCACTTTTATTTGCGATGTTTGCTAGCCTGACTACGTCAGACTTCTTACTTCCGCTAATTTCATTTCGCTCCTGTAGTCAGTCTGAGATAGCGGCCTATCTTTCAGTTTTCCACTGGCCTGAAAACAGCCGGCCAATCAACGAACAGAGGGCGGGCTGAGAGCCGTGACGTAGACGCTAAGCGCCGAGTTTATATTGTAGGTTAGAGCAATCGAAAACCGAAACAACAGCAGAAATGGGAAACAAGACACGGGATGCAATTCGCTCTGTTATGGAGAACATTCTGGGGTTTTTCAAACTGAAGCAAAAGTTGTTTACAGCCATGTTCACTCCGGTATTTCGCTCACATCATCATTAGTGTTTACAGCTAGGACCGGCGCGTGCACTTCTGCCGCTCTAGGCGAAAAACAATTTTGCTGCCCCTCTATTTGCAACGTATACCAGCAAAAACCAGCATGCTTGGCCATTATGTAGCTTGCACAACGCGCATACGCTTTTGATTCTCTCATCAACACAGATGCAGCCGTTTTTATTTTTGCAAATCATTATAACACTTCAAGCTTAGGCATTTAGGAAAAATATTAACACTTCAAGCTTAGTGTCACGGTGTGGTTCAGGCAGAGGAACGAGGAGTCCGGAATATCGGCAAAGAACAGATTTAATATATATAAACAGGCAGGAAGACAGGAACACGGGCACCACACGGGTTAACAATAAACATCAATAGAAAACTGAGGGAACTAAATACACAGATGAATCAAACATAAACATTAGTCCCAGATATGTGACGATCTGTTCATTGTGTATGTCACGTGACAAATGAACGTAAGACTCGGAAGCAAGGTAAAGTGATTATTTATGTTCCATTTAAATCATTTTTACTGCATTATGATTTCTTAATTCAGAATATGATCAACATTGCGTAGGTGGATGTAATCGGGGAATTTGGCTGTTAAAATTATAACATTAAGCCACTTATAAACGAAATGACTCGAATGACTCAGAAAATCAGTAAAATGAACTTCCTATTCATGACTCGCGAGAGCAGCGGTTCGGTCTCGCCCGATCGCGGGGCGGCGGAAGCTAAATCATTCATGATTCGTGAAAGCTGGGGCACACCGACGTTGCGGGCGGCCGCAACTCAGTAATTCATATAAATAACCTAGTTTGTGAATTGTTAATTCCCGGTTGGCACACATTTTGCAGCCCTTAGAAAAGCGCCGCTCCCTGTTTACAGTGAAAGTTTGATCATAGATTTGAGTTCGATGCATAATGTCTCAATGTGTCCGTGTCGGCGCATAAGATATGTCATAAATAAACTTGGCTGATTGGCTTACGGGTAACCAATGATTTTAAACTCCAGAGAAGTGCCCCCTTGCGAGAGAGAAAACACTTCTCTATTATGCCATTCCAGACTCTGTCTACGAAGCAAAGTGAAGTAGCAGAGTCTGGTATTACCAGGCTAGATGTTTGCACGTTGGCTTGATGAATAGATGCTCAGCTACTCATCTGCGGTGATGCGTGTCACAGTAGTGCCGTCATATCTGACTATAACATGTCATATAGCCTATATAACACGCTCTCACTCGTTTATTTTTTGGCTTTTTTGGGAGGAGTAAAATATACATATGTGGTTTCAACAACCAGATTGCATTTACACCTAGTAAAGATCATGTGGTCAGGCAGATCCGATCACAATCCGAACACAACGTATTTACTCCTTGCATTAACATGCTTTATTTATTATCCAGATAACTTATCTGGATACAGATCGCATTTTAATACCAGGTGTAGGGGTCTCAGAGACGCTTAAGATGAAACTTCACGAGACCGGCGAGATGCCTCCACAGGGCGAGGAGATACGCTGCGTGATTGACAGCTTTGACAACAAATGGATATACGTGGAAATCAGATGACATGATTTCACAACTTTTCATTGGTCATTTAGATAATGTGAAGCATGCTGTATACGGAAATGAACCTGGACATTCTATTCGTCAAAAAATCTGAAAATCGGCAAAATGGACCTACGCGGTTTTCATCGGACAGCAACGATATGTGTGTTTGTGTGAGCCCAGTGGTGAACTGGCCATCTGTCCAGGGTGTCCCTTGTTTGTGGCCTGAGATGGTCCCCATCCAACTTGACAGAGTATTAGAGGACCTTCAAAAAAGAATGGGAGAAAATCCACATGTGCTGGATATTGAAATTGATTATTGGGTCAGTGTAACTCAGTTAAGTTTAAACAGCCTTCCCTTGTTGTCTGATAAATAAACCTAAATTACCGTAAAACTTAAAATAATAGCCGAGTCCCAAATAGACACCTGTCTCTTTAATACGAACTTTATCATTACCGGTATCGATATGCTAGCTTGATAGTGAGTACCAGTGATGCGCGGGTTGATCCGAAATGAGCGGGTGCCTGCGGTCACCCGCGGTTACCCGCAGTTACGGGTCATCCAAAAATGTTTTTAATGATATTCGGGTCGCGGTCGGTCGGGTCGTTTGAAAAAAGATGCCAAAACATTTGTATTAATATAGTACTAGACACAATTTTTGATGAAATATACAGCCCTACACACTATTGGCTGAATAACTGGCACGAAGATAACACACAATCTCAGTCGAAACAGTTCTCGGTTCTGTACTGGTGATTCGAGAACCGCTGTCCCTGTGCGTTCGGTAGTCCACAGTATCAGCTGCTCGTGCTCATCACTTCTCTCAACAGTGGCACCAACATGGCTCGGTTACTGGAGTAAAATATAATTCAGGATATTGATTTATTTCGATTCGTAGGCGACCGTCAGGCATGTCTGAAAGAGAGTAACTTTAGTAACTTGTGGATCAGCACTGACGCAAGACGTGAACTGTTTCGAACGATTCAGTTCGATTTAGTGTACTGGTTCGACCGGTTCAATAAAAAGAGCCGGTTCAAAAGAACGATTCGTTCACGAACCGGCCATGTCTATGATCACTACAGTCTGCAGAGAGATGGAGGCGGCAGAGAAAAGGTGAAGACTGGGGAGTGGAAGCAGCGCAAATACACAAATAGAAAGAGTAAAAGTGTGGGAGACATTTGCTGAAATAATGAAAGATGATGACCAAAGTGCTGGCTTTGTTATGTGTAGGCCTACGTCTTCTTGCGATGCTGTTTTGTTACACGTCTATGGCCCAATAACGCTCCGATGAGCATTTACTACTTTTAAAAAATGCGGCC